GGACATGATTTTTTCACGGCATTTTATTTGTTCACCTTGAGACCGGACGATGCAATCATGTTTGTATGTTGAAGTCAATGACCTGAGCGAAGTGGACGTTAAATGACTGCATGGGATAATACATTGACGCTATTCATTTAGTAATGGGTAAGCAGGCTCGTTCTGAAACGATAGAACTCAGGGCTTCGTCAGTTTTGTTCTGGATTCTACAGAGATAATGACAACATCGTAAACGTAGGCTGTAGATCGAAATGCGGTTCTAAATTTATATTAAATTGGCCGTACCCACGTCTGCGCGGGAATGTTCAACCTTCAATCAGAATCGATGGGTGAGACACATACCGCACGGTCGGTTTGAACATACGCACGCGCAAGCCCTAGAAATAAATAACCCAACATCCGGCGTTGCAGCCTTCATAAGCCGCGCGGCGTGGGTTCTGTGACTAATACTAGGCGATCGCCAACGCACGGACGAAACTGATACCGAACATGAAATAAGCACTTCTGAACGCTTCGAGACTCAGCTGTTTAAAATGCAGTCCGGGCTTACAGTTAATCCGTGCAATTTTTTTTTGTTACAATATCCGTTTTCACGATGGACCACTATGCTGAAAATCCGTCGAAATGTTTATCATTTTAAGACAGTTTTAGTACACACCACTTACTACCATACCGTCAACAATAACGCTTCGCTGGAGGAGCCGGTCGCCGGGGGTCTACCCGGCAGGAGTGGACGGCAGGGACAGGAGACAGGCTCAGCTCCGAACAGCCAGCGGGCGCGCCCTCAAAGCAGACACCAGGTGGCTCTCCCACCAGCGGCCATCGTGAGCCCTCGCGGAGGGGCTGCTTCCCAACAGATAGACGCCTCCGGCAGCATGCAGCAGACCTGTGCACCACACATCCCGCCGGCCGGCCAGAGACGGGCGCTAAGCTCACCCCTGAACAGCTGGTGCAGCCGCTCGTCTCCGCTGCCCACCAGCACGGCAGAGACGAGGGTTAAGCTCACCCCTGAACAGCTGGTGCAGCCGCTCGTCTCCGCTGCCCACCAGCACGGCAGAGACGAGGGCTTAGCCCACACCTGAACAGCTGGTGCAGCCGCTCGTCCCCGCTGCCCACCAGCACGGCAGAGACGAGGGCTAAGCTCACCCCTGAACAGCTGATGCAGCCGTTCGTCTCCGCTGCCCACCAGCACGGCTGCCAGGCTGGCCACCAGCTCCGGGTAGTCCCGGGTGGCCGTGTACAGCTTGATGGCCGCCGCGAACGCCTTGTAGTCGCCGGCCGACAGCAGCTTCTTGGCCTGCGGGCGGGGCACGCTCGCTGGTCCGTCCCGGCGAATCACGGAGCGACGGAGGCGGGCCGAGACGGCATCGAGCCGACGATGGGTGCGAGACGTCATCGAGCCGCCGATGGGCGCGAGGCGTCATCAAGCCGACGATGGGCGACAGTCGGTAGTCTGGATCAGCGACGTAAATCGACGCGATGAGGCGAAACACGTGAACAACTTACTCGGCTCATTTGGATTGCTCACAACACGCGGTCAGAACCGCTAAGTTGGGGACGGAGTTGTTGGACCCAAGCCGGGAGTACACTATTCAGTGTGTCATGCTATGTACAACGAACCTAACTTCACGCAAAGCACTCACCCCAAGGATGTAGTCCACGATCTTGCTCTTGTTCTTCGCCTCCTTCTCCCCAACGCCGGTGGCGGCAGCGGGAGCAGCCCCGCCCCCTACACCGACCACCGACTCTCGGCCCGGCCGGGTAGGCTCGGCCGCAGCTCCGCCCCGTGGCGGCGGCAGCTCGCTCGCCAGCACAGCCGTGCTGCGCGGCACCAGGCTCGGGTCCAGCAGCAGCGCCGCCGGGTTGTGCGACAACTTGAACTTGGACGCCGGCTTCACAGGTAGCGGTGCGGTCGCCTCGGCGGCAGGCGGCTTGGCTCGGTCGGCGCGCTGCTCCGGCGGCGGCGGTGGCGGCGGCAGCGCGGCTCCGTTGTCCGTCCCAGCGCCGCCGCTCCAGCGGTTCATCTGGTCCAGCAGGCCGCCGCCGCCACCGCCACCACCGGCCGTCCGCCCGGCCTTCCCGCCAGCCGAGCCATACAGCTGCACCAGGCTGACGGATCGGGCCGGCTCGGCCCCTGCGGCTGGGGCGGGGCCGTCCGCGCGGGCCGCCGGCCGGGACGGCGTGAACGCGAACGTCGCATGCGTGGCGGGACCGGCCGACCGGCCGGCCGCCGCCGCCGCTGGCTGGGATGCGCATGGGTACTGTAACGGCAAAGAATTCCAGTTTTACCCAACCAGCCAATGTGAAGTAATGCGGCGTAGATACCAGTGCTTGCTAATTTAGACGTCCATGTCACATAACCGAGCGAACTTGATAACATAGGCTGGGCAGAGACGAAGAAAATTACCATCAAAGTTGAAACTAAAACCAAAAAAGAAAGCGATCTACGAACATCGAGAGCACTTGACACACTGCAGAATGTTTGAAGACCATGCCGACGCTGCACGACCAAAAAGGACCCACACGCCCTAAATCCAACACCTTCTCGTAACATATTTGTCCAAGCCAACAAATTGTGTCAGTGCTGTACGTCAAATTTCACAATGGGAACAGCGAAAAAAGACTAAAAATGGGTTTAGCGCACCGCAGGAGCGCGCAAGTACTGGCCATACGATATGGTGTTCTCAATCATCTGATTTTTACTCGTTCACCCGGAATTTTTGTTAATATTTGGCCACACGCACATACATATCACATACGTGTCATTAATTTGATAAGGGGCGGTACGCACCCGGGTTATTATGTGCAATTTCCCTCTCTCCCCCCCCCCTTGCATTCTGCCGGCTGACCCCCCTACACGCCACCAAGTCTGCTCATCCCACGCCGTCCCTCGCCAAGCACCCCACACATCGCGCTGCAGGCAACCACCTTGGCCTCGCACGCGCGGAAGAAGCCGGTCAGCTCGCGCACAACCGGCCCGAAGGCGCTCTTCAAGTATCCCCACACATCGCGCTGCGGGCACCCACCTTGGCCTCGCACGCACGGAAGAAGCCGGTCAGCTCGCGCACAACCGGCCCGAAGGCGCTGTGCACCTTCAGGAAGGGCCGCACCCAGGCCGAGAGCTGGCCGCTGAAGCCGGGGTCACCGAAGCGTGAGTCGCACAGAATGACGGCGCCGTAGTCGGTGCGGTGGCGGATGACGCGGCCCACCGCCTGGTTGACGGCGCGCGACGCCTCCAGCCGGTACCAGTCCTGGCCGCTCAGGTGGCCGGCCGCCGCCGCCGCCGCCGGCGCCGGCCGAGGCGGCCGCGGCGCGCGTCTCGTCCAGGTACTGGCGCTTGAGGACGACGCGCGGGTCCTTCAGCGGCGGGTACGGCAGGCCCGTGATGATAACGGCTCGCCCATTCCTGCGGGGAAGAGGGGGGGGGGGGGGGGGGGGTCCATAGGAGTACGAGGGCAGCCAAACATCTCGGGCACGCCCTGTGGGCAGAGAAAATGTGAACATTCAAAGCACTTCAGCGGCTATCGACAACTCAGAAGACAATTTCGAATCTTCCTATGCATTGCTGGGCGTTACTGGGTTTCATCTTGCTACATACACAAAAGCAGCAGCTGAAGCCTTTGTATGATAGCGCTCGTATTTGCGCACACATGTTCCGACCCAACCTTTCAACGGAAGCCAGATTCCAACACACAAATTTGCAGTGTCGTTCATCAAGTCCTTAAGTCCGTTGCAAGTCGAGTGTCGTTCATGAAGTCCTAAAGTCGGTTGCAACCCGAGCTCCTAGCGCTCCAAAGCCCATAACACTCATTATACGATTTCCATACACCTCCGCCTGCCACGACTGCTAACTTCCCCGTCTTCCCGCGCGCCTGACGCTGGCGGGCCGGCGCCGTCCACGGCCGTGCGTTGGCCGTCGGCGGCGGCAGTCCGCACCTGTCCGAGAAGTCGAGGCCCTCGGACACCTTGCCGCGGCACACGGCCATGAAGCAGGCACCGCGCGTGCCCTCCGTCGGACTGACGATCCGGTCGTAGTAATCGGCCATGTTCTGCGCGAACACCTCCTTGCCGCCCGTCTCCACGAACACCGACTGCGACGCGGCAATGCTCGGTGAGTGGGCGGTCCCAACGAGCGACACGCTGGGAAAGGCACCGACCGGGGGATGTGCTGAGGCAACGGCCCGACTGCGCCCCACATGGCTCAAAATGAGTGGATCGGCCAGAACACGACGCCGACACGACCTCGTCTTGATAGCAAACATCGATGAACATTTCCATCAGCAGCACATTGTTGCGCAGCTCATTATTGCACAGCATAACTGTGCTGGCCGAGGCCGATGAAAAACACAGGGATGACCCAAGCGACCTAACGCGTTTCCGGGATGACGCATTGTTCGTTGCCACTACCAGAATACATCCCACACGGCTGGCAGCCGTCTGCAGCTACTCGCCACATTCCTCCACACGTCTCGCGTCCAGGTCGTACCGGCCCACCCTTCCGGGGCAGCCAGCCTCCGGGGGCAGCGCGTGTGCCCACCGCCGCCGCTCTCACCTTGTTGCCGGCGATGCGGCCCCAGACGCCGCTCAGCTGCCAGGCCTCGTGGCAGGCGCGCAGCATCGAGTACGACGGGAAGAAGACCAGCAGGCCGTCGGGCACGATGCGGCTCAGGTTGGCGATCGTCTGGCCGAGCGAGCCGAGGTAGCGCGCGCTGCCGCGGTTCTGGTAGGTGGAGGTGAGCTGGGTGCCGTCCGGGCCGCGGCTCACGCAGCCCACCCACACCTGGTCCGGGCCGATGATGTGCGGGTTCTCCAGGCTCACTGGGAACGGTACCTGCGCGGCAGGCCGGGCCGACGTCACGACGGCGGAGCGCAGGACGGTGGACAAGTGTGGGCTGCGCTAGACGGTATGGCGTCACCGCGCGGGTGCGTCGCTACGACGGTGTCGTGTGGTGTTGTGACAAGGTTGTGTTACTACAACGGGCGGCGCGCCGTTAAGGCAGATGTGATGTTGCACGGAGGAAGTGTGATGTAACAAGTAACAACGGAGAGGCGAGGTGTTTTGCCGGAGAGATATATTATATTCCTGGAATGTCTAACACCGCAATCGGGATACTAGTGGTTTAGCGGTGGAGGACTGCGAAGCTGCTGTCGGGGACTGCGCTAGTGCGGCGGAGTGATGTGGTGTTACGACAGACACGTGTAGTATTACGACGGAAGTGTGGCGTTCCACAGTGTGGCGGTGCGACACAGGACTGCCTGACGCGGTCGCTGCCGGTCACCGTCGGAAATACCCCGCGAGCCAGCGAGCGTCTGCTGGTGCTGCAGACAATCAGCTCACGGCACCACCGTCGCCTTGCTTCCACCCGTGCGGGCGTGGAGACAGGACCACCATGCCACAAGTGCCGCTCCCAGAGCGCCCACCGCACAGCACACCGCCTGCCCAGCTGGCATGCTCTGTGCGGTGAGCTGCGGTGATGGTGCGGTGTGCACCGACCCATCAGGTCCGCCATACTAAGGTACCGATCGCCACAGCGCCTCGGGAGACAAGGCCATCAAATCGGGGAATCCTTCCGAAGCGCTGCCACGGTCTTCCCCCAAGCTCCATCGTCGGTCTCCCACTGCGCCCCCATCCCCCCTCGGCTCCTCTGATCGTCGCCGGTTTCCTCCGAGGTTCGCTGCCCTTGCCCTCCCCTCCCAGCCCTGCCCCGTCCCCGGCAGCCCATCTGCTGCCGGGAGCCGGAACACACCTGCAGCTCCGAGGTGAAGGAGCCGAGCGGCGCCAGCGTGCCGCTGGTTAGCAGCACACACTTGACGCCCTGCTCCATCAGGTCCGCCATCCTACGGGTCAAACGCGCGGAGAGGTCATGGGCGCGGCACGCGGCGCACCGCCACCGGCGGTCAGCGAACACTGCGACGGCGCGACCGCCACGACCGACAGGGGAGATCACACTGGCAATCAGACCTCACAACACGGGATACATCCGCGGCGCGTTACGATACGTTCGTTGTCGGCGCAAGTACAGATCGAGACGCAGGCGACGTGGGGTGCGCGGCATCGGTCACGCTCGTCTGAACGAACCCGACACAGTAGACCGGCCACAGCGCGGTGGCGGCCCAGTCCGCTCACGGCCGGCGGCGACGCGGCGGAGGCACATCGGTTCAGTGAGCACATCCGCGCTCCTACGGCGCCGTGCACGCTCGGCTTTAATGTCTGAGCCAATGAAGACGTCAAATTCGGCCCGATGTGCTTCCAAGCAAACCATGCCGGGACGAGGCGGCCCATATGCTGTTTCCGTGTCTACTTGACGCCCGGTGTGTGACCCTAGGCCAACCTGCGCGCTGGGCAGGACGGGTCACGGTCATTGTTCCAGCAGGGAGCCCCGACGGGCACGCCCGGACCCCCAGGCGGCCAACTGACCCGAAGCCGGGACTGAAGCACCAGTAGGAGAGCACGCGACAGTCGGGCGTCTTTTGCGCCTTCTGCCAGGGGTCCGAATGCGACCTCTTGCCGGCCCTCTGCTGCTCCACCCCGACGTGTACCTGCCGCCGGGAGAGGACGTGAGCAGGACGCGGCTCGACGCCGCACCGTTCGCCGCCGCACCAGAACGGCGCTGCCATGCATGCCACGTCCGCCTGCAGACGGCATCCGTGTCCTAGTCGACAGGCACACATGTGGTGAAAAATTAACCTATACGGACATGCAAATGCTGTAGATACTAAGTTGGCGAACCGGTCGCGAAAGCTGCCACGTCCATGAACATTTCATGCACGTAAATTTGTCACTCAGCGAACTTCAAGCGTCCGCGAGGGAAAACAATGACCAAACCAGTAGTTTACGCATATCGTCCAATCACGACACGGATACAGATAAGCAAGCGCTGCACGAAAAACAAACGTAATCTGCACACTACACGGTGGGACTAACCTGTCACCACGAACTCGTGGCATGATCATGACATATCGTTGTGCGATCGTGCATCCCAGTCCGCGGTGTTCGGCCCGCCCCAGCCGCAGCGCCGAGGGGGAGGGGGGAGGGGTCGGCTCTGACCTTGTAGCATTTCTTGACGCGGTTCATGTGGGCCACGTCGAACGTGTCCCGGTTGAAGACGACCTTGATGAGATCGGCGAACTTCTGCAGCCCGTTGCCGCGCCGGGAGAAGACCGAGGTGGCCGTATTCGCCAGGTATGAGATCACCTGGCGGCCCGCACCACGACTCTCTCACAAGATGCCGCCCGGAGCTTTTGGATGGTTGCTTTCCAGGACCAGAGCCCACGCCAAACAGTGCTTATTGCGCGAGCCCTGAGCCTACCGCCCGATCGTGAAATCCCAGGTCAACGGCATAACTCGGTGGCAAAAGTCCAACGCACCGCAATGCCAGGCACGGTCCGACCTGCCCTCTGACGTCGCGTGACCTTCAGAGCGGCCGTCGGTACCGGCCGTACGCCATTCCAGCCAAGGGCAAATGGCGAGCGCCTAAAGCGACTCGAACCCGCCCCGCCATGGGTGGGTGGATCGGAAGGCAGACGCTCCAGCCAACGAAGCCATCGGGACGGGAGAAGACTGAATGCGACTGCAGTCAAACTGAGCGCCAGCTGGCCCTGGGGCCCAGACACCTAGGCACTCCTTAAATCTAGATGAATTATTTAACCGCGTGCTGAACGGTGGAACGCTCAAAATCGCCAACCAATGTCAAATACATTCGGCTACAAGTTTTCCCGGTTTCGCAACATCCACACTTACTAAGCCCACTAAAATCAATCGCACCCCCGACACGATCCTACGCACAATCCCCCCCCCCCCCCCACACACACACACAAACAGACACAGGCGCTGCGCACAGCCAGACGACTCCAGCCGCCCCGGGAGGCCGGCAGGCGTCGCTGTGTCACCGCTCACTTTTTCCAGCTCCTCAACGATGATGGCGCGCTTGCCGTGCGTGATCTCGGCCCGCTCCAACAGCTCGAACATGAAGCTGCCTGGGAAGTCGGCGCCTTCGCTCGGACTGGCGGCACCCACAGACACAGCGTCACGTGACGCGTCGGCGCTTCGCTGTGATCAGACGCGGATTAAACGTCCAAGATTCGTGCAGGGGACGTTGTGAGATGGTGCAGTAAACGGAGAAGATAGCAAAGCCATGCGCGCACGTAAGCCCATAGTGAAGGCGATGACAACCTGTAACGCTGTCTTACTAGGTGCTGTTTCTCCCAAACTTCACACAAAGTGATCTTCGCCGACTGTCTAACACAGGGGCTGCGGTAACACGTTATTATACCACACACTTTACTCATATGTCCCTTGACACATGAGCATGCTCAAACCCCACCATAACGCCACCAAAGAAACCTTGTGCATCCGATCGGAATGCCACAATTGATCTCGGCCGACGGTGTCGGCGTTAGACGCACTTCGGTATGGGGATGGCGTCGATGGACTTCTCCAGCTCCAACAGCATGGCCTTCATCAGCATCAGATTTTCGGCGCTGAGCTCGGCGGCCGCCGCCGCGGAGCCGAACTCCGGGTCAGCCCCCGCCTCCGGCGACACCAGCTGGGTCAGCACCTGCGGCCACGCGGCGGTCAGGGGCACACCGGCCCGGTGCAGCGACGAGCTAAAGACGCGGTGATGTCGGGGTCACGCCCTGTGGAGATGCAGCGGTCACATCCTGCAGAGACACCTGGCAGAGATGCGGGGGTCACATCCTGCAGAGACATCTGGCAGAGATGCGGCGGTCACATCCTGCAGAGACATCAGGCAGAGATGCGGCGGCCACATCCTGCAGAGACCTCCGGCAGAGATGTGGCGGTCAGATCCTGCAGAGACATCTGGCAGAGATGCAGCGGTCACATTCTGTGGAGACGTCTGGGTCACATCCCAAGGAGACGTCTGGGTCACATCCGGCAGAGACGTGACGGTCACACCCTGCGGAGATGTAGCGGTCACATTCTGCAGAGACATCAGGCAGAGATGCGGCGGTCACATCCTGTGGGGACGTCTGGGTCACATCTCGAGGAGACGTCTGGGTGACACCCGGCGGAGACGTGACGGTCACACCCTGCGGAGATGTGGCGGTTACATACTGTGGAGATGTTGCGGATACATCCCGCGGAGATGTAGCGAATACCTTCCACAGAGACATCTGGCGGAGATGTGACGGCTACACCACATGTCATATGAGGGCTGCCACATGTCCACATGTGGACATGTAGCAGCCGGAGCGCAGTAACGGCGTCAGCACCAGCGGTCAGTACAGGCCCTCTTCTGCCGCGCTGACTTGCGGCACTGCAACTGAACGACAGCGCACAGATGTCCTCAACACAGCGGCAGCTGACAGTGCTGGCACGTCTGATCCATTGGGCAGATGGGACATTCGTAGCGACCAGAATGTCATGGAGAGAGCCGACCTACACGCCGTATTTGCCCTCTGTTTGGCCACTGAAGCACAGAGAAGCAGGATACGGGAGGCACGGACGCCGGTTCGGAAGCACCACATCACAAAAGAACAGACCATTCAAGCACATCAATGTTTGCGTCGCATACCACAGCTGCGAACGTGGCACGTGACGTCATGGTACCAAAGACCGAAGTTGATCTCCGTTGTCGGGGAGACGGCCCCACGAACGTGACCTCTAGGGTCACGAGCACCCACCCGCTCGGCGTCATCTCCAGAGGCGTACTCACATGCGTGATCTCGTCCACGCAGAGCGCGATGTCCGTAGACTTGAGCTGCAGAGAGGCCGACTCCTCGCACATTTTCTCGATGTTGTGCGCCTCGTCAAATATGACGACGCTGTTCTGAGGGCGAACGAAGATCAGCCTCTAAAAAAAAAAACAGCTGGGGCATCCAACATACTCACAAAACTTCTGGTTGGATTTCATCGTTACCGAAAACCAAGCATACATGAGATGGAAATATTTGCCAGAAATAGGGCCTTGATGTCCTTGCTTTCTCTATGTGCTGTCTCACCGCACACCGCGCACTGCATCTCACCGCACACCGCACACTATGCCTCACCACACAATGTCACACAATGAGCAGTGGGCAGGGGCCCCGACTCATTTAACACGACTTACACAGTCCGCTGGCGGCCGCATACCGACAGCCAGGGGAGGGGACCTGCCGGGCCAGCCAGCCCGCCCGGGGGAGGGAAGGGGGGAGGGGGCTCACCAGGCTCATCGGGCGGCTCACCTGCAGCTCAACGCCGTTCGCCTTGCGCGTCTTCGGGTCGAGCAGGTAGTTGTAGGGCAGGAAGATGATGTCGGCCGCCTCCTTCATGGAGCGGGCCATGTAGTACGGGCAGAAGTTGAGCTTCTTGCCGAGCTGCGCCAGGTCCTCGATGTCCGTGACGGGCATCTCGGTCAGCAGCTTGTCCGTGCGCCGCGACTCCACCTGGCGGCGGGGGGGGGGGGGGGAGCGGGGGAGGGGACGTCGAGCCGGGGCGGTGATGAGCAGCACTGGTCAGCGAGAGGCGATGTCGTTAGCTTCGGCCTGACGTGGCGCCCATTCGAAAATAAAGCCGCGCTGCTAAACATCTTACCGGCTAGGACCAAGATTCATAAAGGAAAGCAACAGCCTACGCTCGCATAGGCATACGAGCAGGAAACAAGCCGAGTTTGCTTGATCTTTTTATTCGATTTTATGATGTCATCGCTAACCTGAACTATAAGAGAATGTTCAATTTGAGGTGTACGGTCCAGCCTAGCCCAGCCCGGTCCAGGCCGGTTATAGCACGGTCCAGGCCGGTCCAGCCCGGCCCAGGCCGGTCCAGGCCGATCCAGGCCAGTCAAGCCCGGTCCAGCCCAGTCCAGCCTGGCCCAGCCCGGTCAAGGCCAGTCCAGGCCTGGCCGGCCGTTGCGCGTTCAAGAAGTTATAACCTCCCCAGCCACTGATTACATGTTCACGCCATTTTCAGGAACAACACCTTTTTTCCTTTTTCCATTCTTTAAAAGTTGTGAATAAATTGTCCACAACGTTACAGAAACTTAAGTTCAGGTCAACCTAAACTATCTTGCCGCAGTGTTTGGAGGGCCCCGTAACAGGCTTACAGAACAATCTGGGGTGTGAAGGTCTCTGCAGCAGTACCTGCGGTGCTGATGCCTCAGAAAGGGAGCACAATAACCACCCTGGCGCTCGGCGAAGCAAAACACCAAATCACTCTTCCAACCATAACTACTGTGCAAGAAACTCAAACCTATTATTGATCCGAGGCTACATTGGTTATAAATGTAATGCATTTCGGACTCCCGCCTGCTGCCGTGGGCTTACCTGATTGTAGAAGAGACATGTACGGGACTTGACCTTGGCTTGGCACATGTGGACTTTAACGGAGTTGTTGGTTTCTTTGCTGACCTCTGGGTGTATGCACAGCTGAAATGAATGGTTCAAATACGGTGTGACCTGCTTGTCAGGCCAAAAAAGTACTACAAACAAGAAAAGCATGTATATTAGAAAAAATCAAATATGCGGCGTATGATATTCTGATGCACAGGAACAAAATTGGAGCCTTGTGCTACTCCAGTGCTGCATCTGTGAGGCCAGCACTGGAGTAAACCGCAAGCGTTCCAAGTCGTAGCACGGCGTCCGATAGGGGTGGTTAGTCAACGACACGCGTGTATCCCCACTGGGGTCAGCAGCAGCCACGGTCGGGTCAGTCAGCGGCGGGGGTGTATCCCCACTGGGGTCAGCAGCATCCACGGTCGGGTCAGTCAACGGCACACTTGTATCTCCCACTGGGGGCAGCGGCAGCCACGGTCGGGTCAGTCAGTGGCACACTTGTATCTCCACTGGGGTCAGCAGCATCCACGGTCGGGTCAGTCAACGGGCACACTTGTATCTCCACTGGGGGCAGCAGCATCCACGGTCGGGTCAGTCAAGCGGCACACTTGTATCTCCACTGGGGTCAGCAGCATCCACGGTCGGGTCAGTCAACGGCACACTTGTATCTCCACTGGGGGCAGCAGCAGCCACGGTCGGGTCAGTCAGCAGGCACACTTGTATCTCCACTGGGGTCAGCAGCAGCCACGGTCGGGTCAGTCAACGGCACACTTGTATCTCCACTGGGGTCAGCAGCAGCCGACGGTCGGGTCAGTCAGTGGCACATTTGTATCTCACTGGGGTTCAGCAGCAGCCACGGTCGGGTCAAGTCAGCGGCACACTTGTATCTCCACTGGGGTCAGCAGCAGCCACGGTCGGGTCAGTCAAGCTGGCACCACTTGTATCTCCACTGGGGTCAGCAGCAGCCACGGTCGGGTCAGTCAGTGGCACACTTGTATCTCCACTGGGGTCAGCAGCAGCCACGGTCGGGTCAGTCAGCGGCACACTTGTATCTCCACTGGGGTCAGCAGTAGCCACGGTCGGGTCAGTCAGTGGCACACTTGTATCTCCACTGGGGTCAGCGCATCCCGGTCGGGTCAGTCACGCGGCCACACTTGTATCTCAACTGGGGTCAGCAGCAGCCACGTTCGGGTCATTCAGTGGCACACTTGTCTCTCCACGGGGTCAGCGTCAGCCCGGTCCGGGTCCAGTCAGTGTGCACACTTGTACTATCTCCACTGGGGGCAGCGGCAGCCACGGGTCAGGTCATTCGGGTGGCACACCTTATCTCCACTGGGGTCCGCATCAAACAATGTCGGGTCAGTCAGCGGCGGGGGTGTATCAACACCGGGGGCAGAGCAGCAGCCACGGTCGGGTCAGTCCACGGCACACTTTGTATCTCCA